AGTGGGGTTGCGCAGACGTCCGTGTGACAGTATCCGCAAGCGGCTGCCTCGTCACGCGGGGACCACGGGGAAGTCAGTCTTCCTAAACCCGGCCACCTCCGACGTAGTCGTCACCCCACAAGCATCCATCTCTGGCTCCAGACCCCACTGTTTTTCCCCCTCGGGGACTTTGCTTCCTAATTAAGTCGGATCTCAGGATGTATTAAAAGAATTTGTCATCTCGAGCACGCACTGCCCCGCTGTGAGTGGAGAGCACAGCCATCCGGTCTCCCGCAGACCAGAGTCAGTGTGGGCGCCTGGACGTGTCCAGCACTGGAAGAAGACACTTTCCTAGCGGCCTCTCCCAAGAGCTGGCCCACAAGGATGATGGGTGCTGAGTCCCTCCGGGCCTGGACCACTGCAGGCGGACCTGACCCCAGAAATGGCCCCAGAGCCGTGGCTTCTGACGTGGTGACCCATAACACCCTGGGGTGGCTGACTGGGCTGCTTTAGGAGCTGAACTGAGAGTTCAGTGGACCCTCCTTACGGACCGGGCTGTGTGTGTGTCCTGAGGGACTGTCCCCGCCAGCGGCGCTGAGCCCCTCCGGGCCTGGACCACTGCAGGCGGACCTGACCCCAGAAATGGCCCCAGAGCCGTGGCTTCTGACGTGGTGACCCATAACACCCTGGGGTGGCTGACTGGGCTGCTTTAGGAGCTGAACTGAGAGTTCAGTGGACCCTCCTTACGGACCGGGCTGTGTGTGTGTCCTGAGGGACTGTCCCCGCCCCAGAGGACAGTCAGATAACGAGGGCACCCCTGACACCTGGCATACCCCTGAGTGTGCCCTGCTGGGCCCTGGGCTCCTCCAAGGTGGGGCCGGTGTCCCCGCACCCAGCATACACGTCGGGAGCTCGGCTGCGCCCCTGGATCTTAGGCGGCAGATTCTCGTGGCTGTCCCCTGGCGGCAGCATCGGGAGGCCCTGTGGTTTGCCTCTCTGCTCCTGTGATGTGGCTTTTTGTCCTTCTGTCCCCTGGGGAGGAGTAGTACGAGAGCATGGGCTTAGATTCCTTTGTAAAGAACAACTTCATTGAGACACAGTTCACATGCCGTACAGTTCGCTCGGAGCGTAATATATGCCGTGTGCACCGCCACCACGGGCGGCCTTAGAATCTTTCTCCCAGCCCAGAAGGAAACCCCACACTCGTTAGCTCTCCCCTCTCAGGCTCCTATCCCCCACCTCCAGCCCTGAAACACCACTGACCTACTTTCTGCCTCTACACACTTCCTATTCTGGACCTTTTACATGATGGAACCATCCGACGTTTGTCCTTTCGTGTCTGGCTTCTTCACTTAGCATGATGTTTTCAAGGCTTTCATTCCTTTTCACGGCCGAATAATGGTCCATGGTAGGAACAGACCACATTTTATTCATCCATTCACCTGTTGGGGGACACGTGAGTCGTTTCCACCTTTTGGTTCCTAGGAGTAATGCTGGCGTGAACAATGCGTGCAGGTTTCGCTGTGGACGTGTGTTTGCGTTTCTCTGGGCTGTATACCCGGCAGTGCAGTTTCTGGGTTGGGTAACTGTCTGTTTGATCATCTGAGGAACTGCCAGGCTGCTTCCGAAGAGGCGGCACCATTTCACGTTCTCCCCAGCGGTGTGCGAGGCTTCTGATTTCTCCAAGTCCTGGCCAACACTTGTTCTGATCTGACTGTTCGAGCCTAGAAGTCCCAGTGGTTGTGCAGTGGTGTCTCGTGGTGCTTTTGATTTGCATTTTTCTCATAACTAATGACGCTGGGCATCTTTTCATGTGTCCATTGGCCTTTGGTCTGTCTTCTTCGGAGAAATGTCTGTTCAAATCCTTTGCCCATTTTTTTAAATTGGGTTATTTGTCTTTCTATTGAATTGTAAGAGTTCTTTATATATTCTAGATACAGGTCCCTTATCAGGTATATGATTCGCAAATATCTTCACCCATTTTCTGGGTTATGTTTTCATATTCTCGGTTGTGTCCTTCGAAGCAAAGGTTTTAAATTCTAACAAAGTCCAACTTATCTATCTTTTCTTTGGTCATTTGGGCTTTTAGTTTCATCCCTAAGCATCCTTTGCCAAATCAAAGATTGTGGAGGTTCACCTCTATGTTTTCTTCTAAGAGTTTTATAGTTTAAACTCGTACATTCAGATCTCTGATCCCTTTTGATAACTCGAAACTTTTTTTATATGAGCCGAGGGTCCGTTTTCATTCTTTTTTGCGTGTGATCGTCCAGCTGTCTTTCGCTTGTGGTTAAGCATTCGTCGAGAAACTGTTCTTTCCCCGTTGGATGCTCTGGGCACCCTTGTTGAAAATCGGTTGACCATAGGTATGTGGGTTTGTTTCTGGATTCTCAGTTCCATTTCATTCATCTACCCCGTGCCAGTATCACACTGTCCTGATTACAGTCGCTTTGCAGTAAGTTTTGAAATTGAGAGGTGTGAATCCTACTCTGTTCTTTTTCAGAATTGTTTTGGTTCTTCTGGGTCCTCTGCGATTCCACATGACTTTTAGAGTCAGCTCATCGGTTTCTACAAAGGAGTAAGCTGGGTAATGTGTTGAATCGACAGCGCAGTTTGGGGAGCCCCGCCACCCTAACAATGTTAGGTCTCCTGACCACGAACATGGGATATTTTCCCAATTAATTCGGTCCTTAAAAATCTTTTTCAACAGTGTTTTGTAGTTTTCAGAGTGTGAGTTTTACATTTCTTTTGTTAAATTTATTCCTAACTACTTTATTGTCTTTGATGCTATTACTAACGGAATTGTTTTCTTAATTTCCTTTTGAAATTTTTCACTGCAGATATATAGAAATACGGTTGCTTTTTGTATCTCGATCTCGTATCCAGCAATCTCGCTGAACTTGCTGATCTTGTAAACAGATGTTATAAACTTGATGGTGTTCATCACAGTATTGATACAGTTCAGTACTGGTTATGTATTTTCTCTTCTCTATAATTTTCTTGATGACCTCTTCTTCAGCTCACTTCATTGTAGGAATACAATATATAATACACAGAACATGCAGAATATGTGTTAATCGACTGTTTACGTTATCAGTCAACAGTCGACTATTAGTAGTTACACTTGGGAGGAGTCAAAGTTATACATGCATTTTCGACCGCATGGGGTGTCAGCACCCCTAACTTTCACATCGTTGCAGGGCTGGCTGTATTTCTTTATTTCAGATCATCTGTTTCTTTGAGTCGGTTTCAGTAGTTTGCGTCTTTTTCGTTGGCTTCCATTCTCAGGAGCGTGTTTTCGAGGCCTGTCTCTCCTCCTTCAGTCATCATTGACCTTTTCGAGTTCTTTTATGTGCCGAGCGTTTTTCTGTCCATTAGCTCCCTGAATCTTCACAAGAACTTGATGAGCTAGATAGGATTATTATCCCCATTTTACATGCTAGGAAATTAAATAACGCATCAGGGTCACACAGCGAGGACATAGTAGAGCTAGGACCTGAGCCCGGTCCGGCCACACAGTCCTCTGTGCTGTCCCCTGCCCTGCTCTCCTGAGGCCCTGCTCTGGAGCCGGAGTGCAGGAGTGAGTCAGCTGGTCACTGCCCGAGTCATTCCCCAGAGACCCCAAACCTAAGAGAAGGGTGCGCCTGGGGCCTAACATGAGCTGGGAGGTCGGGTGTCAGGGACGGCCCCACAGAGAAAGGGACCTGTGAAGTGGGCCTGGAAGGAGCAGCCGGTGCAGGGGTGCAGGTGGGCGAGTTTGGGAGTGTGCCCCTCCCGGGGGCTTTGTCTCCTGCATCTGCTCTGCCCTGAGTGCTCAGGGAAAGGATGTCACAGAGAACCGCGCCCCTGCCCCGCCCCCCCGGCAGGAGGAGTCTGGAGTGGGAAGCAGGGCTCGCAGGTCTGTTCCAATCGCCCAGGCCCCGCAGTTGGCCTCCCGCAGAGGAAGAGGCACGACCATTCCTATGACGATTGCCAGACAGAAATCAGGAGCAACCAGACATAACTCAACATAATGATTTCTGCATAATGACTTCGGCTAAGATTCGGTTTGGAGCAATGACTGTAATCTTTATCTGTCATAGGAAAGCTGGTGGGCCAGGAGCCCCTGCAGCTTAGAGATAGAGCCAGGAGGAAATTTGCAATTGGAGTTAATGGGCTGTCTCCCCAAGCCTGCAAACCAGAGCCTTCAAGGCCTCAGGAATGACGGTCCCTCCCCCTGCGGGAAGCCTGGTGTCAGAGCCAGCCCCCTCCAAGGGGATTCGGCCCACCTGCTTTGTCACGGATGGGGAAACTGAATGACAGAGATCGAAGGGGTGCCCGAGTCACAGAGGCCATTCGGAGGCAGAGGCACACCTGGGGACCAGAGCTGCTCTGCTGTCCCCACCAGCCCGTGCTTTCCCAGTGAGAGTGGTGTGTGTCTCAGTGGGGCGCAATGGGTGTGACGGAAGGTGTCCGTGTGGCTCCACGTGCTTTCATCTGTCACGGAGCTGCTCAGTGAGCATGTTGGTCACGATGCCTTCTGCCCGTTTGTCACATGCAGGGGCTAGAGCTTGGCTGTGGACGCTCCTGGGAGCCTGCCATGTGCCAGCCTTGCTGTGAACCACCCATCTGGCCCTTACAGTGACCTGGTGGGTCGGAGAGCGAGGTCAGGCCACAGGCCGTGGCGTGATGAGCTGCACTGACTCAGTGATGCGGCCAGCACTTGAATCCCGGTTGCAGACCAGAGGCCACAGGCCATGGCGAGCTCTGGCTCAGACGTCACCCAGCGGGTGGCCAGCATTTCGCTGGTCAGCTTCTCCCGTCAGTACTGTGGTGGCCTTCCCGCCCTCCTGGTGCAGAGGGTGCCCATGTCCTGGCCCCTGCCCTAAAGTGCTGGCTCAAGGCCAGCAGCCAGGATCTTTCTGTCCTTGGCATGGGACTTGCAGAAGCTGATGCCCCCCTACAGGCACCCGGAAGCACCTGGCGAGGAAGGCTCTGGGCCTGGTTGTTCGTGCCCTGTGTGACCTGCAGGTCCTCTGTTTCAGGGCATGGTCTAGGAGCCCGGACAAGGACGTGGAACCAGCCCCCGGAGGTTCTGACCCCTGTTCCATCTCTGCCTCCACTCTGTCTCGGGTAAGTCACTCCGGGAAGCCTGGTGGGTCTGGGGGCCGGGGGCGCCACTACTACCTGATGGGGTCTTGCCCCAGTGCCGGCTGTGGGGACTTGACCCAGCTCAGTGGAAAGGGGGGGAAGACGGGGAGTAGGGGCACAGACGGCCAGCACCCCCGTGGGACGAGCTGGGAGATGAGAAGACCCACCCGGGCCCCACGGTGCCCGGGGCTCTGTCCCTGAACCGCCCGCGTCTCTCTGGGTGAATCGTTTGCCCGGGGTGCTGCGGTTCCGGGATGTGTCCAGGGAGCAGAATGAGGGCATCGGAAGTATAGAGGGTGCACTTAGAAACGGACGTCGTGGGAGGAGGCACGGGGCACCTCTGTCTGTCGTCACGCTCCAGGCCACCCTCAAGCCACCGCCTGCTTCAGGCACGAGGGAGACTCTCGCGAAGTGAGTGCCCGTGACGCGTGCGCTTGTCGTCCAGGCCCGGAGCCGAGGCTCGGGGGGCGCCCGCTTCCTGGACCACCCTGCCCCTTCGTCAGCCTGGCCCACTCCTGTCTGTCGCCTACGACTGAGCTTGGGGTGTCATCTGTTCTCAGAGGCTTCCTCGGCCCGGGGCGGCGCTGACTGCCTGTCTCCTGTCCTCAGAGGCAGTCCGTAGGACTCCCTGTCACCCTCATTGCTGCTGGCCGTGCTAAACAGGCCGGTGGTGTCTGCCTTCTTGAGCTGAGCGTTCGATTCTGTTCCCACATGAGGAGCCAGGTGGTGGGTGGGAGAAAGGTCTCTGACCTTGGATTTGTGCACCCCTGATCTCGCCAGGCCACTATACAGACTCTCCCATTCTCTTTTATAAGAGGGTTAATCACACCTCACTCTCCAGGGCGGTTCAAAGACTTGAGCTAAGAATAAAGTAGCCATTGCAGTGCCTGGGGGCAGAGGGGAGGGCTCAGTTACCCCACGGTGCCTCTCCCTCCCCCTCCCGGCTGTCCAGTAAATAACACGATGACCATTAATCGTCACCCTCAGTACCGTGAGTGTTAGTTGAGGCGGGAATGTGGGGTTGAGAGGAGGCAGCCATGGGGGAGGGCCTTTGGTCTCAGCCCAGCCCAGGAGAGCCTACCTCGGAGCCCTCGCAGGAAGTCTGGAACTTTCTAGGCCCCTGAAGCAGGGGACACCCCTTGTAATCCTCATCTTCCCACCCAGAAGGAATCACCTTTTAGCGCTCAGCCATGCAGCTGAGATTTGGATCCAAAACCTGCTGAAGTGTCAGCCACCGAAATTTCAGAGGCTGCTGGGTGCTCAGCGTGACACCTGGTGTGTCAGAGGGTGGCGAGGGGGAGGACAGATGCCAAGCTGCCGGTTCCGTTTGAGGACCCCCGGCAGGTGTGAGGCTGTGCAGGTCAGATGGCAACTTCCCCACAGACCCGCGGCGTAGGCGCTGTCACACCGCACAGATGTCACAGGTCGTAGACGCTGTCACACCGCACAGATGTCACAGGTCGTAGACGCTGTCACACCGCACAGATGTCACAGGTCGTAGACGCTGTCACACCGCACAGATGTCACAGGTCGTAGACGCTGTCACACCGCACAGATGTCACAGGTCGTAGACGCTGTCACACCGCACAGATGTCACAGGTCGTAGACGCTGTCACACCGCACAGATGTCACAGGTCGTAGACGCTGTCACACCGCACAGATGTCACAGGTCGTAGACGCTGTCACACCGCACAGATGTCACAGGTCGTAGACGCTGTCACACCGCACAGATGTCACAGGTCGTAGACGCTGTCACACCGCACAGATGTCACAGGTCGTAGACGCTGTCACACCGCACAGATGTCACAGGTCGTAGACGCTGTCACACCGCACAGATGTCACAGGTCGTAGACGCTGTCACACCGCACAGATGTCACAGGTCGTAGACGCTGTCACACCGCACAGATGTCACAGGTCGTAGACGCTGTCACACCGCACAGATGTCACAGGTCGTAGACGCTGTCACACCGCACAGATGTCACAGGTCGTAGACGCTGTCACACCGCACAGATGTCACAGGTCGTAGACGCTGTCACACCGCACAGATGTCACAGGTCGTAGACGCTGTCACACCGCACAGATGTCACAGGTCGTAGACGCTGTCACACCGCACAGATGTCACAGGTCGTAGACGCTGTCACACCGCACAGATGTCACAGGTCGTAGACGCTGTCACACCGCACAGATGTCTGCATCCGTGATTCCCAACCGCAGATCAGAAATGCTGTTTTTCAGCCCACAGTTGGTTGAACCCACATATCTGAAACCCAGGGATATGCTGGGCCGACTATATATTTATTGAAAAAAATCAGTGTATAAGTGGACCCGTGCAGTTCAAACCTGCGTTGTTCCAGAGTCAGCTATAATTCAATCTCCTTCCACTAGCCCTAGTGGAGCTGGGTGTGGGAGGGATAAATCGGGCTCTGTGAGCATCACCTGCATGCACATAGCCCGGATGGAGGCCTGCAGATTGGCACAGATGCACGGGCGCCTGGCCAGATGGGGTCCTGCTGAGGCTGGCAGCCAGGTGTCACGATGCTGGAGCAGGTGGAGGGTTCCATAGTGGGTGGAGGAGGTGGTCAGCAGTGCCTCTTCCCATCCTGAGGCCCCCTGGGTATTTCACTGCACACACAGCAAATACCTGATAACCCCAGACACACCTCCCCACCACCAAGAGCTGAGGAACCCTGAGCATCAGATGGTACTGCTGGTACCTGAGCATCCTTGGCCATGGACTCCTGGGTCAGGTGATGGTCCATGGGAGGAACCCTGCTCTCTGCCCACCCTGCCCCCGGGCACTGGAGCGGAGGCACCTGTGTGCTCAGGCTGTGGGTCCCTGTCTCCACAGAGCAATCACACATTCGTGGACTCAGCAAATAGTTACTGATCACACACTCTGTGCCAGGAAGTTTCCAGGCTGGGGGCTGCCAAAGGAGAATACGCCAGAACAAAGCCCGGCCCCGGGACCTTGCATCTGAGTTTGGGGAGGAGACAGTGAAAGTAGGAACGGGGGCTAACGCACGCGTGCTGGGGCTTCAGGTTTGGATCCAGTGCTCAGGGAAGACCTCACTGAGAGATGCCTGAGCGAACACCTCACGGAGGGGAGGAAACGATTTTAAATCCAAAGAGCTGCCAGTGCAAAGGGCTGGCGGCAGAGTGTGCCCGAGGTGACGAGGAGCAGCAAGCAGGTCATTGTCACCGGGGGGCGGCGGGCGGCGGGGGGATAAGCAAGTGGGGCATGGAGGTGGGCCAGACAGGGGGATTACACCTGCTAACCCAACAGGGAAGTTGGGAGCAGCTCAGTGCACCTCCTAAAGCCTTTAAATGGTGACCCGTCCTCACACATTTCAAAGATAATTGTTGCTGATAGAGAAGTTTAGCCACAGTCCTTCCAGAAGATGTTAGATTAATAGGCGCATGGGGATTTGCGGTTCTGCAGGAGAGCATGACCAGCTAACCTCCCTGCTGGGTGTCGGGCTGGCGGCCCCCCCAGAAAACATTGGCTAGTCTGCAGTTCCCAGAGGGCCGTCCACCTTGCCTTCTCGAAGTGCCCTGCTAAGTGGAAGCCGCTGTGGTTTGAGACAGGGCACCAGGAAAGGGGAATCCTTCCTAGCTTGTAAGCTGAGGGTTATTTTTAGAGTGACTTGGGGTGACTTTGCAATATCGCTTCCTGTGGGCGTCCCTGTCGACACTCAACCACAGGGGCAGATCCTGCACGACGAGCAGTTTGGGCGAACACGTGTGTATGCACGCGCGCGTGCACACACACTCACACACAGTGGGCGTGCACGACTCAACCGGGCAGTCTCATCCGCTGTGGGGTCGATGGGGGGTGGGGACCATTGTCCTGGCCTGTGCGCCGGGCAAGGAGCCACGGCCCTCTGGTGTTTCTGAGCTTCTGCTCCAGGGGAGTTTCCACATAAGCTGCTGTGTGGGTCCCAGTGAGTGAGACCCAGCCTGGGCTCACCGCCTGGCTGGGGAGATGAAAGGCGGAGGGAGGAGGAAGGGCGCCTTCACTGCCAGTGAGCCCTTGCTCAGCGCCCAGTGGGGTTAGGGCGGGCAGAGGGAGGCTCCACGATGAATGAATGAGTGATCGGGCCATGTCCCTGAGATCTCGCTGCTTGTCGGCGCCTGGGCTGGGGCCCCTGAGCCAGGTCTGAGCCCGTTCGATCTCTCCGCCTCCATGTCGCCAGCCCCTTGGGGCGAGCCCACACCGATCCTTCCCATTTCCCAAAGCGTCCAGCAGGGTCGCGGGCACACGGCCCAGGTTTCTGGGACAGCCCAGCTTCCAGACTTTCTGCCCTGTTGACCTCTTAAATACTCTTGGACTTGTCGAATCCCATGTGCGAACGTTCAGCCTGGGTATCTCACTGTGAACGTGCTCAGCAATCAGCGCTTGCTCTGTGGGCTGCCTGGGACCTCGGGGGTTCTCCAGGACACTGGCTTTCTCTGAAGTTAGACACCCTCTGGGCCAGGAAGTCTCTGATGGGAAATGTGGAGACCCGGGGAGGGGGCCGCGGGAGGTGGGCGCTCGAGGGCACACTGGACAGTGCTCCCGGAGCCACAGGTCTGGGCCTGTGAGGAGTGGGGGTCGTCTGGAGGGGGCCCCACTGGCCAGGCCTTCCCTCTCTCCCTCCCTCCCTCCCTGACCTCCTTCCTGTCATCAAACCTTGTCCTTCCTGCCTTTCAGGCAACGATCTAATTGGTTATGGGATTATTCCTGCCTACACCCTGGGCTAATGGAACGCAGCTCTGTGTCCTTGGGGGAAAGGGTCAGGAAGGGACCTGGGCCCCAGCCTGGAAGCTGGAGCCTGTCGGTTTCTCTTGAAATGCCGCCTTCCTGTGTTCCCCCTTCTGCCACCCGGCACCCCAGCACGGTGCCTGGCTCCCAGCAGGAACTAACTTGGTGTAGAGAAGCGGGAATTGATGCCTTGCTTTCCCGAGGAGACTAGAAGCCCTTCGAGGGCATCTTACACGTCTGT